GCGGCGCGGCAGCAGGCGCGCGCGCACGCACACACACGCGCACACACAACACACACACTACTACCTCCTGCATGACTCATCATTGAAGCAACAATAGGCAGAGAGAAAGGAAAGGAGGGCGCAGCGAAATCTCCACCACCACCAACCCGCCTGAAGGGTTGGGAGGGGGAGGGTTAAGGAGGGCAGGAGTCCCCCGCTGCTGCACACACACCCCGACTGCTGAGGGATGAGGCCCTAGGAGCAGCACGGAAAACGGAGGTCTTCCCCCAGCCCCCTTTTCTGCAGAGCCCTGAAGCTAGGGGCCGCCAGCAAGGGCGAGTGGGGATAGGGGGCATCTGAAATCTTCGTCTCTCTCCCCTGGCCAGGAAGCGCCAAAGTTTGCCCCTTCTTCTCCCCGCTCATTCCACAATGTGACCGGGGATGTGGCCAGGAGATCCCGGTGAGAACGTTTCGGGGTCAGTGGGAATGTGTGAGCTCTAAATATCCTGTTGCTCTGCAAGTCTAAGGGTTTCCCTCGTCTCAAAAACAGGAGATTGGGGCGAGAACCGACAGGTAAGCCCGGCTCCTCCTTCGCAGGCAAAAGGCTCTCCCGGAGAGATATCAGCGCCCAGAGCCAGGGCCCAACCGGAGGAGGGGCCCGGCCGCGCCGTCCCTAGCGGGAGTGTCCCCGGTGCACGTGGTCGGGGGCGGGGTCCGTCCACGTCACCAGCCGGTGTAACCAACGGGCTTGGTACGCAGACACACGCAGCATTCCAGCCGAAAGCGGGTATGGAACGCGCAGACACGCCACATTCCACACCGGCTAAAGTGGGGCGCAGAAAGGGGGGCCCGGGGGCTGCCCCCAGCGACCTGCGGGCCGTTTTTCAAACACCCAATCAGCCGGCTCTCACCCAAACCCCTGACGCTAGACCCAGCCCAGGCTCCGGGAGGCGGGGTCAGGCGGGGCTGGCCAGGATCATAAGACACGCGATGTCATTTCATTCTGCAAAGGCCGCCTCCGCCCCAGTGGCGCGTAGATCTGCCAGGAGTGCCCCCCACACCCACCCCATAGGGCCAGGGGAGCTGGGGAGTTGCTCCGCGTAGAGTAATTTCTACCCCACACTCCGTTACACACACGCCCACTCGTGTGCACTGTACACTCGCCCATGTACACGTCCGTTCATCTGCTCTCCTCCAGGCTCCCATCACACATCCCCCGTGCACACACGCACGCACACACAGGTCTGCCACCCCCACGCAACACCACTGCTCACCCCACCCCCGGCTCTCACAGACTCAAAGCTACCGAGGGTGCCACTGACCCACGCGAAAGGAGCCCTACAAAAGGTGCACAAGGGGTGGCAGGCAGCTGGGGTGGCGCTCACAGGAGCCGGGTCCCTCGCTGCATGCTAATGAAGTCATTAATTAATTTCCCTGCTCACAACACTCCTCCCTCCCCGGGCGGCGGCTCTTGCGCCGAGCCTTGCACTGCTGGCTTCGCGGGCCGCCCGGTAGAGGGTCTTGTCCGTGGTTTCGGCGTGGGTT